TATTTGAAAAGTTTTAGAAAAGTAGTTAAGTGATTTCATGTAATTTGTGACAAAGAAAAGCGAAATATATGAATACATATATTTGATATAGGAACAAAAAAATAATCGAAAAAAATATAAAAAGCGAAAGAAGGTACTGACCTTCTAGTGCACAAGAGCGAATGTTTCAAGCAGAGAATGATGATGGAAGTTATAAGCAATAAGAATGATGTTGTAGGAGAAGGTTTGAAGAAAAGAAATGATTGAAAATAAGAGTGAGCCGCAGATTCAATGATGAATCGTATATGTATGTGATAATTTGAATATGATTTTTTGGTATTAATGATTTCCTAATAAAAATAGATTTTATATTAATGGTTTACTAATATAAACGGATTTATATTAATGGTTGATATTAATACCTTGGTTGAAATGATTTGTTAGTAATATGCTTTTAAAATTGACCATATTAAAATCTTCATAACTGGAAATTCAAGATTTAAAATATGGAAAACTTTTATTGGAATTAAATACATTCCATTTCAACGAATGTAAGTTATTGTTTGACGATTGGAAATCATTTATTGGAATTAAATACATTCCATATGGGGAAGATGATGTCAGCAATTTGATCTAAGGGTGGAAAAAATAAGATTAAAATACAATCAAGGGTCCAGATTATTTAAGATGATGTCATAAGGTTTCTCTTTTAATAATATTTAGAGAAAGGATGTAATCAGATTTAGTAACGAAGAATATTCATTCTTTCCATTTCTTGTTCATGTAATAGATAACAGAAGCCGATACCTCTCGGTGTTTTCTGCTGCACCTCTTTTTGTCTGAACAATCTTAACATCCAACACTTGAAGCACAGGTTTCAGGCCAGTGATCAGTTGCCATATCCCACTAGATAACATCGATATTGCACCTTCCGTTAGTTGTATTGATATTGCAGGGCACCAACTGGACATGGTTTTGCATCACCGATAAAATCACAGTTTTCAAGTATCACATCAAGGTCGATGATTATAAGAACGCTGGAAATAAATCAAAAATCCGTGAGACAGTATTTATACAATAATTGCCATCAAATTATACAGGAACTTATAGTACCTCTTCATTTCTTTTACTTTTTTGAGAAATAACTTTTGATCTGTGATATGAATAATAAAAATGAAGAAACATAACTGAATGAAGACAGTACATACATGCGGTCACGGATGGAATTACAGACAAACTCCTTCAACTGAACAATCGAACCCTTCTGCAATTGCTGAGAGCCTGAGATCTAATCAACTCATTCCGTTGAGTAGCAAGCATCCCTTGCTGAAAAAACGAGCCATCAGATAGAAAAAGCATGTATCTCTCCTGTTTTTGTTCTCCACCTACAGCAGATGAAATTTGTGACGGAACAACTCGAACATCCATCGCCTGAAGCACAGGTTTCACATTCACCAGTTGCAATTTCCCAGTAGATAACATCGATATCACGCCTTCCGTCAGTTTCATCGCCATAGTATCAGTACCTTCATTCAGTTATGTTTGTGTGTGTGTGTGCGAGATTTGGGGATTTTAAAGGGAGGGAAAATGAAGAAGGATTTTTTTGTGTGAACGCGATAAGTGGTTACGGTTAACAAAATGTTACACATAACGTACCTATAATATCAGTACCTTCCAAAAAAGACCCTGTACTTTCTTCATTATGCATTCCTGTTCCTTCGGTGGAAATGTGGAATGCTTGTTTGTTTAATAATTACCAATTAGTATATATATTTTAATACTTATCAGATGTTTCTTATAGATTGAAATTTTCATTTCAACAATATAAATTTGGATTTTCAACTTAGTTAATTATTTTCACAGTAAAAACTAGAAGAGTTTTCTTATATATGTTATAGGTTTTCTTATATTAAAGAAAGACGTGACTTGATTGCATCGCATCCATTGAAGATTTCCACACTTAATAACTCTTATGTATATACTCTGATAAATGTTTTGAATCAAATGATTTTATTTAAATCCTAGAAGTTGTAATTGTAACAAATGCTTTTATTTTTAAATGAAAATTTTAGGTTGAAATTTGGGATGTTACACTAAAAAGATTAGGACTAGACTTCAGGGTAAAGTTGATGTGCCATCATAAGAGAAGAAGCCTTCATTGGAAAGAGTAATGTCAATCACTAGAAACCTAAAAAGGTACATAAAAAGTAAATAAAACTACATAAATGGTCCTTGTGGTTTATCAAAGATCACAAGTTCAGTCTCTGCTATTTTTTTTATAAACTCGGTCCCCGTGGTTTCTAAAACTTGTGTGAAAGGTTCTTGAGCTTGTAAAAATTCTTTTTTGTCATTTCTTATATTCTTTTATGTTTTTTCTTTTTCTAATTTTAACTTAAAAACGAAAAGAAATTAAAACACCCACTCCCACCCCCTCATTTCTTCCCATTATGTCTATTCTTATTCTTTATCTCTCTCAATCAGATGGACACGATCATAATCCCTAAAACACTAAACTTATTCTAAATTATAGGTTCTTGAACCGATGAATAGGAAAGAAAAAAAAACGTTCATGGTTACTTCAAACCTAGTTGTCGATGGGTGGGTGAATCGGGCCATTGACACCGCTAAATGGGCTGAATCCCGTTTGAAACTTGGTTGAATCAACTGATACCAAGTGGTGGAAGAGGACCGATGCTGATGGTGGTGGGGGAGATGGTGATGAACCGATGCTAATGGCGGTGGGGTTATGGTGATGATCATACCCTTCAAGTGGCATATTCATCGCCTTTTTCACAACCCTAAATGGAAAAAGAAACTGCCATATTCATCGCCTTTTTCACAACCCTAAATTAGATCATCATCATGCCATCTCCATCAGACGCACTTGTTCTCTGTTTCTCTTTCCCTACCGTTATAAGCTAAGTTTAAGTGTTTGGATAGGAAACACTAAAAATCAACTTATTGTGGTGAGGATAAGCTAAATAACACTACAAACAAAATTACATTTAGTGGAACAAGTTTTCAGTGGCATATTTGTTTTTGTGCCACTTAATTAGGTTTTCAGTGGCACATATTTTAATATTTTTATATGCCACTATATCATGTTGAAAATCCTAATTTTTGTTGGGCGCTGGTTATTTTTCGGATCCTGCAATAAAGTCCTTATGTATTGCCCGTATAATTGATTTAGCCCCTATATTTTTTTTTTTGCAATTTAGTCCTAAATACCGGTAAACGTAATCAAAACGGGATATTTAATGGGTTAGCCGGTATCCCACCGGCACTATGCGCATGTGGCACCTTACGTGTACAAGAGAGTTTTACCCTTTCCATTTCCACTGCATTTGACGTCTGGTAAATCAATTGAGAGAAAAAGTTAGGGTTTTTACAGAGTGAAACACGAAGGAAGTAGGGTTTTACTGAGAGAAATGAAGGTAAAACCCAATGGCTGTCGAATCAGAGGAAGTTCACCATGAGTCATCTGAAGAATACGACTCTAAAGAATACGAAGATGATGAGGAGGTGCTCGATACTGAGCACATAGATGTGGAAATGGAAGAAGATGATTTCAAGACACAGGGTAAAGAGAGATGCAAGGATGCTTTCCTTAACTTCAGCTCTGATTATGAAGATAATGAAGCCGATGAAGACAATGACTTAGTTAATGAAGATGAAGAAGGGTTTGGTTCAGAAGAGGAAATCGATGACACAGCAGGGCTAATGATCTTGATTTGGGAGATGCGGTTGGTGCAGGCTTCCCCATTCATGACCCATCAGTTAAGTGGAATAAGATGAAACCCATTCTTGGTGAAAGGTAAGAATCACCACATCAGTTACAACAATGTCTCACTAATTATGCTATTAAGTCAGGGTATAACATTAAATTTGCAAAGTGTGACACTGTGACATTAACTGCCAAATGTGGTTCTAAGATGAAGTCTCAACCCTGTCCATTCAGAGTTCATGCTTCCTGGATGACTCAAGAAAAGTCTTTTCAGATTAAAAACTTAGTTGATGAGCAAAAATGTGTTAGAAATTTCAATATTTCAAATTTACTGAGTCCCAGATGGCTAGCAAGACACTTTTTGAAGGAGTTGATAATGAAACCTAACTTGAAGTGTAAGGAGATGCAATCAATAATTATGACCAAATTTCATTGTGGTGTGTCTTGGTCTAAGGCTTACATAACAAGGTGTAGAGCAATAACCATTATAGATGGCAAACTCATTATGCTAGGGTGTGGGACTATTGTCATGAGTTACTAAGGTCAAATCCTGGTAACACTGTCCAAGTGGGTGTCACTGTAAATCCAGATCAAACAACATACTTTCACAGGATGTATTTGTGTTTTAAAGCAATCAAGGAAGGTTGGAAAATAGGGTGTCGTAGGGTAATTGGTCTATATGGATCTTTCTTGAAAGGGACATGTAAAGGAAAATAGGGTGTCTATATGGATATTTCAAGAAGCCATTAATGACACCCAGGAATTACCAGTACACCTTAGGGCTGTGAAAAGAAGAAGGCCCTTTGAGAGGATTGTTAAAACCAAGCTGAATAAGATGGGATGTGTTGGGACTTCTGCAAATTCAACATTGGAGTTGGATTAGGGTGTTAGGGTGTTAAGGGTAGTAAGGGTATTTTGGTACATCTTTTGTGAATAATACTTTTGTGCATCTTTTGTGAATGCTACTTTTGTACATCTTTTGTGAATGCCCTTAAATTACTGATAGCCATATTTTGTACATCTTTTGTAAACACACTGAAACATTGTGAATGCCCTTAACATGGTTGGTAATGACATATTGGAGTTTGTTGTTTAATTATTTTAGCC